GATTGTTCCTCTTTCCCTTATAGCCTGCTTTGATCAATAGAATGTATCAGAAGTGCTTCCCTATAACTCAAAAGACCAGACCCTAAGAACTTCCTCCTTCCTGCTTGGCTCAAGAGAGCCAATGTCCAAACAAACCACCAAGAGGCCACGAGGAAACCCAAGGGAGCCAGTGGAGACAGACATGCAGTGGACCACTAAGTCACTCACCATATAAGCAAAGCCTTCTAGAACTTTCCAGCCTAGACACAGGTAAATGCAGCTAAGGGAAAGATCACTACATGCAACAGCCTCACCTGTTTCTGACGCACAAATCATGAGCAAACTAAAGAGCTGTCAATTTAAGCTACGGAGTATTGACGTAGTTTGTTCTACAGCAATAGATACCTGAAACGAAATTGAAGTCCCAAAACAAGGGGAGAATCCTGGCAATGTTGTTATGTAGCTATGTGATCTTAGGTCAACGATTTCCCCTCTGGACCTCAATTTCCTCATCTGTAAAATGAGGAGGTTGTACCAGATGAGCTAAGGTGCCTCGCAGTTCTGACAATCTGAACCATTCATGTGGATATCAGCGAACAGTCCAGGCAACCCGAGTGCTAGGRATTCAGAGGGAGAAACTGCTTCAGTATCCAAGTCACTACTTCAGGAGCGGAAAGAGAGCTATAGACCTGGAATGCGAGGCTCAAAAGAGGCAGCAACTATAACAATGCAGGCACATAGCACTCAATAAAAAATCATCATTATCTGATGAATCRAATCAGTTCCTTGGTTCTGGACAAGTTAATCTCTCTAATCCCCAGTTTTTTTCATCTGCTTCTATAAATGAAAACATCTTTGTATGTGAAAGCTTCATAAAAATCAAAAATCATCTAGAAATCCAAAATATAACTATATTATTAATACTTTTATTATTCTTTACATMATTGTCTTTAGAAGCCTCCTTTTCACCAAGCAAACAGAGAGAGCCAGTTGATGGCACTGGCCACCAAGAAATTGTATCAAAAGATGGAGAGGGGGGCTGGGGCTGTAACTCAGTGGCAGAGCACTTGCCTAGCATGTGTGAGGCACTGGGTTCGATCCTCAGCAAAAATTAATAAATAAAGRCATTCTGTCCATCTACAACTATAAAAAATTTAAAAAAGAAAAAGATCAAGAGGCAGGTTCTAAGGGGCCACAAAATTTCAGCCATGTGAGATCTGACCACCTCCCAGCATTGGTCAGTGAGCCAGGTATCCATACTGAACACAGAGCCCAGGTATCCCTTACAAGAAGCTCTTAGCCCAAGGGGAAATCTGGAAACAGCCCAGCATCTTAAAAGTGTGAATAATTGCCAGGTGTGGTGGTACACACCTATAATTCCAGTAATCCAGGAGGCTGAGGCAGGAGGATCATAGGTTCAAAGCCCACCTCAGCAACTTAGTGGGGCCCTAAGCAACTTAGCAAGATCCTGTCTCAAAATAAAAAGGACTAGGAGTGTAGCTCAGTGAAAAAGTGTCTCTGGGTTCAATCCCCAGTACCAAAAAAAAAAAAATGCAAATAATTATGAATAATTTCCTACATCAGAATCCTAGAGATCAGCAACCTGAGGATACTGCTCCAGAGAGCTATGAATCAAACCCTGCCTGGCATAGAGTGAATACTCCACAAAAATCATTGAATAAGCAAGCACTGGATTTAGGAGTCTGAAGTCAAATCTCTTAAGTTTAAACACTAGCTTTGGCGCACACAGCTGTGAGCAATGAGACAGGCAAAAATCTCCCAGTTTATAACAGACATGGAGACTCATCTCGTAGAAAAGTGAATGAGAATTAAATGAAGTATTGAAGGTGAAAAACATCTAGGATTCTGCTTAATTATTACATATATATATATATATATATATATGCACAGAACCTCTGCACAGAACCCAACCCTTTCAGCCTCAGCTGGGTGCAGTGGTGCACATCTGTAATACCAGCAACTCAGGAGGTTGAGATGGGAGGATCACAAATTCGAAGCAACTTAGCCTCTGTCTCAAAATTAAAAAGGAAAAGGGCTGGGGACACAGCTTAGTGGTAAAGTGCCCCTGGGTCCAATCACAGTACAAAAAAAAATTGTTTTTAATCAAAAAAAGAACCTTTCAGTCTCTGCAGACCCAGAAAATGAGAGGCATACATCCAAACAATCGCTCCATCCAATGTTGATTCTGAAAAATTGCCAGCCCTTGAAAGAGGAAGTCTTGGGCTCATTTTCCAAGGGTACCTGACAAGGCGATGATACATTTGTATTTTACAGCCTGTGTTTTCCCACAGCAAGGGGAGAGTGTGGTGTGGATTCAACTCTGAAATCCCAGTGATTGGGAAGTTTCATGGACACTGCTCTGTAGGAGATATGAAAACCAGCCAGAAGAAGCACTTACCAGGTACATGTGGGACAGAAAAGCTTCTTCTTCCACCTCTACTTGGGTCTTGACTGACACAATGAATGTGCCAGTGTCCAACATCAATTATAAAGAGCTGGGAGTTAAGACCCAAAGTCCTCACAATCAGCCTTTGCCCAAGGAAGCTCCACCATTGCCTGTACTGTGTGCCCTTGTCCTTTCTTCTCTCTCTTGCCCCTCTCAAAGCAGAATCACTGGTCCCCGTGCCTCTGCGTTAGGAACACAGCTAAGATCAACTACGGCTGTGCCTCCTCTTAATGACCACCACCGTCTGTCAATGCAGGGAAGTTACTATAGGAACTACATCACACAGCCCCCAGACATTTGCTTAGAAAAGAAACTGTATGTTTGGTGCTGGGAAAGGAAGAAAAAGATCCAGCAAGTTGGAGGCAAGCCCCAAGTTCAGTATTTCTCAAAGTCTGGTTGCAATCACATGAAATCACCTGGAATGCTTGTTAAAGGCTCACATTCCTTAGCTCCCCATAGATGTATCAAATTAAAATTGGGACATGGCAAGAACTGGACCTTTTAATGCCCTATGCACACCAAGTTTTAACACCTATTTGAGACCAAATACAGAGGACAGTAAGAAAAGAATAAAAAGACTTAAAGACGCTTTAAGTGTGACCTCCATTCTTATACTAATTCTTACAAAAGAGAGCACTGGTGAATCCAACAAGATAAAAGCCAACTTCCTGATTGATGTACTTCTGGATATCTAAAAAAATTAAATCATCACTATGATGAAAACTTTAACATCAAAAACCTGTTCACCAGCTGGGCTTGGTGGCGCATGCCTGTAATCCCAGTGGCTCAAAAGGCTGAGGCAGGAAGATCACGAGTTCAAAAGCCAGCCTTAGCAACTTGGTGAGGCCCAAAGTAACTCAGCTAGACTCTGTCTCTAAATAAAATATTTTTTAAAAAGTAAAGGGGTGGGGGCTAGGGATGTGACTCAGTTATTAAGTGCCCCTGGGTTTAATCACCAGTACCAAAAGAAAAAAGARAAAGAAAAAGAAAGTCTGAGGTGATTCTGGACAACTTGGTGAGATCCTGTCTCAAAATAAAAAATAAAAGAGCTGGTGATGTGGCTCAGAAGTGAAGAGATTTCTTAGCATGTATGAAGCTCTGGGTTCAATCCCCAGTAAAACAAAATAAAAATGCTCACCAAACCAGCAAGCCACAATAAAAACTAACCCAAATATCCTATCTTAGAATCAGATGTACTCAAGAGATGAGAGAAGTGAGATAAGCTGCTGCTTGCAGCCCCACTCAGGTCTTAGCCATACCCAGTAATGCAGCTCTGCATTCCATGGCAGGGTTTGGTGACTAAGAAGTGGGATGTCTCCCCTAAGCTCTAGCCAATATGGTTTGGAGGGAATTTTTAAGGGCAGAAAAAAATGAAAACTAAGATTCCCCAATTCATCTCCTTAACAAATGAAAAAAAAAACTTAAGATAATTGACTACACTAAACACATATCAGATGCTTAAAAAAATGCTTTGTGATTGAAATGATCCTTGCATGAGATGCTATCCTCCTGTATGCACAGTCATGAAAGAGAAAAAGGGAACAGTAAAACTGTCTTCACATAAAAAGTACTGTTTTCAAAACCATCAATACTCAACCTACCTAGAGGGGCAATACTTTATTTCATTTAGTGACCAGCACATTGTAGACGCTGAAAGTCTCTGAGYCTTTAAGTCACCAGAGAAGTCAAGTGGTATGAAGCAGGAGGAGAGAGTCCTTTTTCAACAGAAAAGCACTCTTTCTCAGTGATGAGCAGTGGAATCCTCCACTGCAATTTCACAAATCAGAACTCCGCACTGAGGGAGGTACATCACAGGGACCAGCCTTATATACACCTGATGGTCCATTATTGGCTTTGGCCCCACCCCTCCCCAAAAATGGACCTAGGACTTTCCCCTGATGCTGAAAATTCTAATCATCCCAGCTAAATTCCTAGGCAGTAGATGCTAAAACTTAACATTACAAACAAGGGTAGTAAACAGCTTTCACCCACCCACTCCCCAGGCCACCCTCAATTCAATGACTGGTCATGATTTAGAAACTCACTCAACACCCACCCCGACACGCTTACCTGGAATCATAAACAAACAAACAAACAAACTGTATTCTCTTCCTCAATCGGGAAGCAAGCATTCCTCTTTTAAAAGACATTCCTGAAAGCACCTCCCAAGGGAGCCCAGCAGGTAAATAACACCAGGGCTTCCTTAAACCGATTCTAAAGAACCAGGTGTCCACGCTGCGCTCATTCACCTGCCTCTCCTCCAAAGGAGGGTTCTGCGAAGTAACTCAATCCAATCCTAGGCAGGCAAGGATGGGGGAGACTGCAGGTGGAAGGGGTGGGGGGTGAAGCCATGCCGCTCAAACTTTGCAGTTGCTCTTTGGCAGTTCTGGGAGGGAGCCCGTGGAATTTTATATTGAAAAGGGGGAGTCACCTTCCCTAACAGAAAGGTCCGCAAATTGGCCTAACCCACTTGCTCTGCGTCCAGGATGGTTGTGCATCCCATCCACTCAGACATAACCCCTCCTGGGCACTACCCTCCCCATAACCCCCTCACCTTGGCCTCAAAGCAGATGCCGTGCTGGAAGGCGTCCTCATTGTGCAAAGGGATCCTCAGGTCGTGCCCATCGTCCACAAGGTTGTACTTGGTTTTGCTGGGCATGGTGACCCACGATGGACACGCTCCTCCAGAGGCGACGCTGGCTGCAACGGCAGCAGGAAGGGGCTGTCTAGACCCCGAGGAGGAGAGATTGGGACCGAATGAAGCGGCGTTGGCGGGGACCGCGGGGCGCGGGGTGGGCAGCGCCCTGGCCGCGCGGCTGCTGGGCGGCAGCGGGAACCGGGACCCGGAGCTGTGCCTAGGGCCAAGCGGCAGCGGGCGGCGCGGATGCGGGCGACGCGAGCGGCGCTGTGGCCGCGCTATTCCTGCTGGCGAGGAGGGCGGCGGGGGAGGCGGTGGCGGGAGCGGGCGGTGCGGCGCCCCGGCCCGGAAAAGGGAGCGGTGGGCCCGCGGCCCAGAGCGGGAATGGGCGCGACGCCGGCCCCAGATCAGTGGCGCGGACAGCCCGGGACGAGGAAGAAAAGGCGGTGGTGGCGGCGGCGGCGGTGGCGGCGGCGGCGGAGCGGGGTGCCTGTCACGGAGACGCCGGATCAGCCGCCAGCGAGCGGCTCCTCCTGCGGGGCGGGCCCGGGCCGACTCCTCCCGCCGGGCGCCGAGGCCCCGCCCGCCGCCGGGTCCGCCCCCGCGCGCCCSGCGCCGCCTGCGGAGCAGGTGAAAGTCCCCGGAGCGCAGCGCCGGGTCCTGCCAGTTGAGCCTGGCCCCGGGATCCCGGGAACTTCGCCCGGCCCAGACCGCCGGGAAGCCAGCTCAGCCCTGTTTTCGCGTTTTACGGGCAATTTCTGAGCCGGGCGTAGTTATCAGCCACGTAGCCTAAGTTTTTGTTTGTTTGTTTGTTTGTTTTTGTTTTTGCTTTTGCTTCGTTTTTAGAGAGTGTCGAGTGTGGTGTGGTTTTGTTTGACCAGGAAGGCCCATGTCCTGTCCCATCTATCCCAATCTGGGTCCCACTCATTCTCAGTTCTGCTCCTAGTGGGGGAGTAGGGGTAAGGGGGAGCAGTTGTCTTAGGCACTTTTTGTCCCTCGGGGCAGCAATATGTCACTTGTGTTTGGAGTTTAGGTAGGGTGCCTGTGGGGAGAATTTAAATATTTAAAAGTCATCACCATCCTTGAGGAAATGGGGTAGGCGGAAAAGGAGTACAAAGGACCAAAGGATCCAGAATGTTTTTATGTCCTTAAACAACCTTCTATAACTAGGTTGGACCAAATGAGCTTCCAGGTTATCTCTGATTGGCATATTATTGTTCCTTTCTTGAACAATGCTTGAGTTGTTAGATTTGCCTATTGTAAAGAAGGGGCTATTCATTTTTCTCCTTTACACCAAAAGTTTTTCAGAAAACTTGCCTAGTTRTTTCCATCTCAGAAGAGATTGGATAATGGAAGGATTATAAGATGAATGTCCAGTTTCCTAACTGTAAATTATGCAAATGATGGACCCATAGGAGGCATTAATGACCAAATATTAAGTATCTGACAAAAGAGCATAGGTAGATACATATAACAGGTACAATATATGTGGCTTAATATTAATCCATAAATCCAGAAATAACCAATCAAACCAGTMCCCAAGCCAGCCAAAGCTGAATTACTTAGACGAAACGGTCAACTTTTTCATGGAATTAATTGCCATAAACTTGCTTTCCACCACCAGCCCTACTGGCTACTAGGGGTTGAACCCAAGTTCTTGTAYATRCTAGGCAAATAATAAGCTAKATCCCTAATCCTTTTTATTTTATTCTGAGACAGGGTCTCACTTAATAGCCCAGACTGGCCTCAAATTTATGATTCTCCATGCCAGGGCCCATGGCACACACCTCTAATCCCAACCACTCAGGAGACTAAAACAGGACTAAGCAATTTAGGGAGATTCTGTTTCAAAATAAAAATATAAAAACAACCGAGGATGTGGCTCAGTGGTTAAGCACCCCTGGGTCCCCAATACCAAAAAAAAAAAAAAGTATGCATATTAAATTTTATAAATCTCTGCATTCCTGTAATCCCAGTGACTCCAGAGGCTGAGACAGGAGGATCTTAAATTCACATCCAGGTTGGGACCAGGATGGGAAACTTGGTGAGACCCTGTCTCAAARTAAAAAAATAAAAAGAACTTGGAATATAACCAGTGGTAGAGTGTCCTTGGGTTCARTCCTCAATATCACAATTTAAAAACAAAACAAAACAAAACAAAAACTTGTGATTCTCCGATCTCAGCTTCCCAAATTGCTGGGATTACAGGAGWGTGCCACTGCCATGTGCAACTGTTAACCTGCTTTTAATGCCTGTGGGCACATCCATTGAAGGCCAYTCATAGACCAGACATCACTGATCACTTTTTGTCGAGGCCAGCCTGGAAAATCACCAGGAAGTATCCTGATGAAACTTCCTGAACCATTTCATGATAAACTTACATAAGAGAATACATTATTACGGTAATTATATTTCTCATCTTGCCCCATAAAGCTAAAGTACAACTGCCCTTTCCTGTCTATTGCTATTCCCTATCTGCTGAAATCAGTGGTCAAGTTGTAGTAACTGCTGGAATAGTTCCCTAAACAAAAGCAAACTAATCCCTGGGACAAATTAATCATATGCATTGTGCTGTAGATTTTATTATAACCGTAAATATTAGTAAGAACCAAAAATAATTTATAGTGAGGAAGTACACCACTAACCTTTTTATAAATACAGGACAGAAAAGTCTAATCAGCCATGTTTGACTCTTTGAATGTCACTGTGGTTTTAATATGCAGAAATGCACTCTATAAAACCTGGCACAGTAATTCAACAACTTAAAGGCAAAGCCTTAAGTAACAATTTCATTTACATCTCAWATCCCCTCCCAAATTAAAATGTCCTCTGACTCCAAGTGACATTTTTTTCTAGATTAACTTGTTTTGTTTTGTTTTGTTTGCATTTCTGGGGATGAAATCCAAGCACACTCTACCACTGAACTACATGCCCAGCCTTTTTATGTTTTTTATTTTGAGACAGGCTGTCACCAAGTTGTTGAAGCTGGTCCTGAACTTGTCAACCTCCTACCTCAGTCTCCTGAGTAGCTAGGATTATATGTATGCTCTGACCTGCCCAGCTTTAACACATTGTTTATAGACAAGAAACAAACAAAAAACATAGAGTCCCAGAGCTATTTCAGGGTTTGGTACAGAAACTACCACATAATAGACATCTAATAAATTATTTATAGAACTAAATAATAATAATGGCTAATTCTCATTAGCTTTCTCTGTATCAGGCATTGTTCTTAGCATCCTATAGGTATTATCTCATTTAATATTCAAAACAACCATAAAGTAACTTCCATTTTACAAAGAAACTAAAGCACAGAGGAATTTGCATAACTTGCCCAAGGTCACCCTTACAAAGGAAAGGAGTCAGGATTTTAATCCAAGTCAATTCTATATCCACAGGTGGAAACTGGATGGCTGTGRCAAGCTTCATATTGAAAATGAAGTCAAATTCAAGGTCTATTTTATTTAGGTGTGTTTTGTAAGCTAAGCTATTATATTTATTATATTTCAGTTAGATGAAATGTTCCAAAAAGGAGAAGCCTTTTCTCTGCTTTGATTTCAGCTAATATAATGTCAATGCACAAGGTATGTGTGTATCTTCCAGAAACAATGGACATCCAAAGTAATTTCCTTTTCCTTTTTTTTTCCTAGCTATGATTTCAATCTTGCCTTTCATCATTAAATATARCTGAACTTCACCCTCAGAACTTCCATATTCATAAAAAATGAATTGAGTATTCTTATAGTGAATGACAGGTRCCTATAACACTTTCTGTATCTATTTGTAGTATAGACATTGCATAATAAAAATTTAATTTAAAGTGCATTTAATTAAAATATAAGTTGTTGCCAGGCATGGTGGCATATGCCTGTAATCCCAAGTACTGGGGAGGCTTAGGCAGAAAGATCACAAATTGGAGGTCAGCCTGGGCAATTTAGTAAGACTCTGTCTCAAAATAAAATAAAAAGGGCTGAGGGTACAGCTCAAAGGTAAAGCGCTTGCCTAGCATATGCAAGGCCCTGGGTTCAATGCCCAGTACCATAAAAAAAAWGTGTGTGTATGTGTGTATTATATATACATACACATATATGAATAAAATATACATATATAAATAGATTTCAGTCACATAATACTATAATACTTCCTATGTTAACTTTGTTTACATTTTAATTGTAGATCTGGGGATGTAGATCTGTGGTAGAGTAGCTGCCTAGCATGCTCAATGCCCTAGGTTCAGAGATGTTTTCGCCTACCTCCTTTATTATAAAGAAAAAGAGCCAGAATCTCAGAGAGATTAATTTGTCTAGTTAAAACTATGGACTAGAGCTCCTACCTCAGTAATCTTTTCATCACACAATGATAGATTATAAATGAGTTGAGCATTGACAGCAAACTTTACTTTTAGTACATATTTGGCACTGAGAAAATTAATTTGCTTTTGCTCATTAATTCCTACTTTGCCATACAAAGCACTGCATATGCATTGTCTCACTTTTCCATATGACATAGTTACTATCCATATCTCCATTTTACATGAGAAAACAGGATGAGAGAGAGAAGGAATTTTTTAGGTTATAAAGCAATAAGTCTAGGAATCCTTGCCTGAATACAGCTTGCACAGATTGAAAATTATGTCAGCTTGCTCAGATATGCAGAGAACTCACAAAAATCTTTGTATCAATAAAATATTAAACATGAACAACACACTATAATTTCCTACTATTGGATAACATTTAGCTTCAAAAAGCTCAAATTAGCAGTGCACTGTGACACATGCCTATAATCCCAGGGGCTCATGGGACTGAGGCAGGAGGATCACAAATTCAAAACCAGCTCAGAAATTTAGCAAGGCCCTAAGCAATTTGGACCTTGTCTCAAAATAAAAAGGGCTAGGGATGTAGCTCGGTGGTGCTACTCACTATGTTGCCCAGGCTGACCTTGAATTCCTAGACTCAAGCAATAAGCAATCCTCCTGCCTCAGCCTCCTGAGTAGCTGGACTATAGGAATCACACCCAGCAGC